GAGTTCTCAAGAAGCAGGGCAGGGGGCTGAGAAGGGTGGATGGGCCAGGCCCAGCTCTGGGGAAGCTGCCTATCAGGACGGAGCCCCTGGGGACCATGGGCTTCTACCTCCTTCCAGAACTTTCCAGAAGCTGCTGGAAGTGCTTTCAAGCAGGGAGGCAATGTGGTGTCCAGGTCATTGTTTATAACAGCACAGGCTGTGTGCATGAAGGGGAGAGTTGTCAAGCCAGCTGGCTCTGTGCCTCCACCTGCAAATCCACACACCTGCTGCCAAGTTCCTTTTGCCCACAAGCATCAGAGCCCTGGCACCGTCACTGGGCAAGCGTGCCCGGCGGTGAGCATGGTAAGCTAGCTGCCTGAATGGCTGAGTGGGACACAAAGTGGGTGGCGGGGGTCTCTAGGGCAGTGATGGGAATAGACATGCAAACAGGTGACAGGACTTACAGGAGGTCCGGGAGGGCCAGGGGGACCCTTAGGCCCCAGTAGACCGCGTGGGCCCTGAAAGAAAAAAGGAAGACTCAGACTCGGCCAGGAGTCTGGCTTCCTCCCTGCCCCTGCCCTGCCCCCTCCAGCCCTGCAAATCCTGGGCCCCACGAGCCCTACTGCAGGTCTCCACGCTGCCCAGGGAGCACAGCCAACAGCCCCACCTGCCCTTGCTCCATCTCTCCACCTGATCTCACTCCTCCACCTGGGGTCCCTGGAATTGATGGAGGACTCAGATGGGAGATCATGGGGCACGCTTACAGAAAGGGAAGTCTTTCAAATGGATGGGTGCCCTTCCACACTCCCCAGGGCAGGTGAGCCCCAAAGCTCTCCACGTATGCCAGAGCTACACCTGCCCAGGGCGCTGAGGTTCAATTCTTGTTTCCAGCTCTCTCTGCAATCCCTCTACAATCCCTCTGCGCATTTCTGACAGCAGAGCCCACGGGTTCAAGCAGGACAGAGGTAGGAGAAACTAGGTCTCCGGCAGAAACATCGCAACTCAATGCAATGAAGCCTGAGCTCAGATCTTTTCTGGGGTGGCCACTGTGGCCTAGAGCTCAGTCCCTCCCTCACTTGGCAGTGAGGGGCACGTGTGTGGGAACAGTCCCTAGGACGGTTCTGAAGATTTGAGTGGTGACACAGCAGGAAGGAACCCACACCTGAGTCACTCATGCCCGCCCACCCACCAGGGAATTATGGAGCCTTCGCCGAGGCAGTGATTTCAAGTGTCCTCAATTTTGACAGAACCTTTTCAGATGCAGTAGATGAGAAATCCTGCCCACGTTCATCGCCGCCTAAATGTTGCCTTCGTTATTTTAATACCTAGTCATAGAAATGTTTTTTAGGAGTTAATGACCTAGAAGGTATGGCTTAGACGTGTGTTAAAGAGAGAGCGGTGCTGATGAGTTCTCCTTCGTGGCTAATCAGACGCCCAGGGTATAATTTAGTCCCAGTGAACGAGCAAATGCCGACCCCAGGCTTTCCTCCGCGCAGCGTTCACAATATTTCTCCTCAATTAGCATCACCAGATGCACACGGCCTCACTGATGTCGATAAAAGAAATGAGACGTTCGAAAAGTAACAGTGAGTGAAAAGCAATTAATGTCCTTTTGTTGCTCAGGAAATTGGCTTTGGCCCCAAAGAGAAATCTGCTTTGGGAACAGAGCTTCCTGACGCCCAGGCAGGCGCATCCTACAGAGGGTTCCTTTTTAGAAAGTGCAGCCATTAGGAAGGGTGGCAAACTCTGGTTAGTTCAGGTCCTGCCACTGCCCCTAGACACTCACCATATGGACCCTGGAGACCCACCATGATCACCCTGGACTCCCTCCATGGTGGACCTAGGACATCTACCATGATGGAGACCCACCATGACTGTAGCTTGGACGCCTGCCACGACCCTCAGGGACCTGGACTTCCCCAGAAGGCTCGGATTGACTCCTTAGAGTTGCCCCACCAACCTCCCATGTGCTCCTCTTTTCCTTCCCAGGGAAGCCCCCAGATCTGTTTCTGTGTCATGGCTGAGCCCCCCGCTGTCGCTGCTCTGAGTTGATCTCTGATTCAACCCAGAGGGAGCCCCTCACGCAGTCGATCCCTGTGGCGAGGAGACTCAATCCCACCAGGTCAGCGGACTTACAGGCTCCCCGGGCAGCCCTCTGGGCCCAACTTCTCCATCGTCACCCTGCAGGGGAGAAAAGAGGCAGGATTTTAGGGACAGGCTCTAAGCCTGGACACCAGGGGGACGACGTCTCCCTCGGCCGTGCAAAAGGCCTGTGGCCTGGGGCTGCTGCAGCATGGTCAGCCAGAGTTCAAGTCCCCACAGCGCCGGGAAAGCCCGGATGTCCTCACTCCCGGGAAGCTGCAGGTGAAAGGGTGAGGTCTGGGCTCCGGGGCACTGCTCAGGAGCTCACAGCCCACAGCTCCAGTGAGGGGACATGGGCAGGAAACCTCGTGACCAAAGGATTAACGATAGAAATGAATGATAGAGTGATCGATAGAAACTGGACAGAGGTAGATGACAGACACACAGATAGGCCGACAGGCAGGCAGACAGATGATAGGACAGAACTGGGCGGGGAGGAATCTGAGGAGTCACCAGGTCCCCTGGCCCAACCCTGAGCGAGCCGGCTGTCTCTGCTGGGGTCCTAAACATACTGGACAACAAACCAAGACGCAACCTTCCTTCTGGCTCTAAAAGAAGATGCTGCCCTGGCTGGACTGGTTCAGGATCGGGAGCTGCTTGTCAACACTCGGCCTCTCCACCTAACACTGCACCCCCTCCTCCCTTCACCACGCACGCGTGCACACACACACACACACGTCATGCCCACACACGTGCATGCACACAAAACACACCCAGTCCAGGCACACGCCCTCTGATCAGGCGGCGCAGACATCCAGAGGAGCCCTCTCTCCTCCCTCATCCCACAGTGGACTGTGTGGAGCCCCAGACAGGTGGTGCCTTGACAATGCCAACCTGAGAGCTGGTGAGGACAGGGACACTACCAGGCCTGGCCTTCCAATCCCCAGCCTGCTCTTTCCCGTCTACCTGGGATTCCAGACCTTTTCCTCCAAATGCCTCAACAACCCGACAGAATTGCCTGAGTGGGGTGTGTGGAGGGTGGGGATTAAAGTCTACTGCTGTGCCCTTCTCTGCCCCAGGACCCTTGTGCTTCAGTCTAAGGACAATACATGACCTGTAGCCCCAGGAAGACGCACCTGGCACACGGGGGCACGGGGGCAGCGCCCGTCTGAGCAGCCCACCTCTGGCCCAGGCTCCCAGTCCCACCTTACAGCTACACAGTCCCTTCTAGACTCTCCCCACCCTTGTCACCTCCGCTGACTCTCCTCCCAGCGTCACCTGGGACACCTGTCCCTGGAGTGGGACACACTCTCTGAGACCTGTGATGGTGCAAGCCACAGCTGGACACCACAGATCAGCAGGAAGGATAGTGTTTAAACATCTGTGATCTGCTTTTATCCCAGAGTTCTGGGCGGACAGTCCCGTCTGCCTCGCCCACTCTCCACCCGCCAATGCCACTGCCGCCAGTGTTTCACACACAGTTTTCCTGCTGAATTCCAAGGAGCTGGGCAGGCAGGTGTGGCCGAGACACGTTGGATACGTACCCTTTCTCCATCGTCTCCTGGCGGTCCGGGCGGGCCAGAGGGACCAGGGTCACCCTAGGAAGCCAACCAGAGCCAGGGTTAGCCACCCGGAGAAGGTCCCACACACACGCCTGTCCCAGGTCCTGCATGTCTGTCGTGGGTCCCCAACATGTTCTTTCACTAATTCTGAGACTGAAAATCCCACACTCACGGCAGCCTCTCCTGGAGTCCCAGGAGATCCACTGGGGGATCACGTGTACTGGCTTATCTGTGCTCACCTGGGGAACGGGTGTCCTGGGGGTAGCTGTGCTAGACCGCGCGCCCCGTGGGGACACAAGTATACAGGCCCCTGAGACACTGAGGTGGGGTCTGAGCTGCACCCCACCAACCTCTCCCCAGCCCCGCACTGCCCCCCAAGGAGGGCCACGCCCCAGACTGTGGGCGCCGTGAGGGTTGCGCCCATCCACCTCACACCCCAGGGGTGTCGGGCCTCGCACGCAGCTGGTGCTCAATACATGCTCGGCGGTCAGTCAGATGGACTGGCCCTGCCTCAGCAGCTGCCTCCCTTGGCCTCCAAGTGGCTGCTGGAGGACGTGGCGCAGCAGCTTTGGCTGAGTCGCAACAACCATTTTTCAGTGTGTTACCGAACGTGACAGATAAACCTCAGTGAAAAGCGTGCGCACGTGTGCACAGTGTGTGAGTGTGTGCACGTTTGTGCATGCATGTGCATGTGCGTGCACACGTGTGTGTACCCATGCATGTCTGTGCACACATGTGCCTGCCTGGCCAGAATGTGCCTAAATATAAAAGAGGCATAATCTATGTCTGAGGAGAGAAAACTCCCAACGAGCTGCACAGAGCCGGCACGAGGCGCCCACTCAAATGGAAGCAGCGCCAGGCCGGAGCGCCAGGTGCCGTGCCCCCGCCCTCTGCAGCGGCACAGCCACTGGGCCAGCCCCACCTCCCCAAACGGCAGCCATGTCTTCCCAAAGCTGCAGAAAGCTCCATTCAACAGAAAGCGGGTTTCCAGAAGAGCTGCCCCTTGCCCCCTCACGTCCTCGGCGACTGGGCCCCGCTGGCTGCTCCATCACAGCTGCAGAGAAGGATCGGCTCCCTCGGGGCCGACTTTCCATCCAGCCGTCCCGCTGCGCTCGCTCCCACCTCCACCCCCAGGGGGTTCCGTGAGTGGCCACTTTGGAATCGAGGGGACCCAGCTGCACCCAAGCGATCTGAGGCCGTGGGGAAGGGCCTCCCGAGAAACCTTCTGCCGCACGAAGGCCGTCAGGACCTCAGGCCAGGCGCTCTCACTCAGGTGGCACTCACCCTGTGGCCCTTCTCTCCGGGCAGTCCAGCCAGGCCGTCGAAGCCGCGGTCACCCTGCGAGGAGGACAGGGGGCTGCTCAGCGTCCACACCCTGCCCTGGGCCATGGTTCAGGCAGCATCTATGCACCTTGGGCCCCAGGGCCCCACATCACCCCACATTCCACTGCCTCGGGCCCATATCCCCACCTCTTCTCCCCTCTTGTCCCAGAGTCACCCCCTCATGCTCACAACCCACTCAAAAGGAGCAGATTTGCCACCCAAACTAACTGCAGCTGTCACATGCGCTGGTGAAATTCACTCGCCAATCCCCGGCTCCATGCCGACATGCCAGAGTGACCCAAACAGAGCCTCCCTCACCCCCAAGGTCCCACCCCAGATGCGTGTAAGCATCGCTACTTGTCACCATAATCCTATCTGTCATTATAACCAGTGTGTCAGCCACGTCATCAACACGATGGTCACCATCAAGGACACCAAGGGGTGGTGAGTGGCAGCCTACCTTGGGGCCAGTCTGCCCAGGCATCCCTCTTGCTCCGTCACTGCCAGCCCGCCCCTGGAACACAGGAGGGCAACGGGTCAGCACAGAGTCATGTGGCCAGAACCCAGAGGCCGGGCCGCTGGACGCCTCACGGGGAGCTCTGGTTTTTCTGGGCCTCGCCACCCTGAACTGCCAGCAGGGGTAACGCCACGTGCCCCTCTGTGTTTGGAGATGACGGGATGAAGGGGCAGGCGAGACCTCGCTGGAAGACTAAGGAGCCATGTCAGCTGGCTCATGACTCAGAGGGTGGCCTTGTCATCAACCCACAGCACGCTTCCTTCCCGCCATTTGGAATTCAAATTAACGTCTGGGTAATCATTACAGGGTGAGAGAATGCAAGCACCCGGGGTTAGTCCAACTGGCTAAGGAGGACAGTGAGGCCCAGAGGGGTGGCTTGTGTCACTGAGGCCACACGGCTACCCAAAGGCAGGTTCTAGGCTGTAAGCAAGAGACTCCATCCATGGCCACTCCCACAGCGCATGATTTCCAGCTTGGACACAGCCAAGGATAAGTCCACAGGCCCCACCTGACTGGCCATGGGGCTGCCAGGCAGGGACCAGACCTACCAGTGTCCACTAGGAACTTCCCACAAGCACCTCAGGGGAGACCCGCCAAACTCAAGGCCACCCAGACGGGGACAGAGACTCAGCCAGATGTCCACTGGCTAATGAGGAATGGCAGCCAGCAGAGTGTAAAGGGCGTCTCTCTTCTCCACGACCCGTGTGCCCCTGAGCAAATGAGGCCATCGCCCGGTGACTTGTGACAGACAGACAGGAGGTCTAGAGAGCGGCCACATTTGGTCTCAGAGCACAGCCAAGACAGTAAGGGCGGCACCAGGGCCACAGGGGGTGCTCTGTGCTCCCCCCAGTTAAAGGTCCCCAGGAGCTGCCAGAAACGAAAAGTCATCTCAGAAAACGGGCCTGAGCCACACAGCTCCGGGTGAAGTGCAGATGTGACGCCAGGAAAGGCGGCACAATGGGGAGCCTCTCCTCAGAATCCTGCTTTCAGAAACCAAGGGAAACTGGTCAGAAGAGTTCCCATGATGCCAGTGTCGGCAGAATGCCCAGATGCCCCCGCCACTCACAGTGACGGGCTCCCTGCAGGCTGCCCCAAAGAAACCAGGGAGACGCGCGGGCCACCGACCCCAGCCCCTCACCCACTGTCTTTTCTTCTTCAGTGGATCTTTGGGACAAAGGGCACTCGTTCAAATGCAGGCGTATCCACGGCCCTGGTGCCATCTAACTCTGCAGCTCGTCTCATTGTGAACCACCCCTCATATCTGCTCTCTTTTCAGTTTTTCCCTGGGCCGAGAAGCTATTTCTAGTGAAACCTGGTAATAAGTGCTTAGAGATACACAGAAAAATTTAATGAACCAAAACACTTTGTAGAATCGGATCCAAAATAAACCACGTAATTACCTACCAAGAATCACCAAATTCCGGCCTTCGTGGCACTTTCAGAATCGTCTAGTCCAGCCCTGGCCTGGTGCTTGGAGGACCTGCGGCCCCATGGGGCAGCGTGAGGACGCCGTGCTTGACCGTGACCTCCTTGGTCACCCCCACTCACTAACCACAATGAGCTCCCGGGACGGGAGAGCCCCTAACAACCCAGGAATCCCTCTCTTCCTGTGCACCCTGGGACCAGAACAGGGACTGGTGGCTCACATCACAGCACTCCTTGAAGAGGTTCATAATAAACAAACACGACATGAGACACATTTTTTTCATGCACTGTAAACATCTGCTGGTTGGAAAGATGCAGTGTTAGAGCATGTCGTGGGTTAACTGGGATTCCCTTTGCTTGTCTGGATGAAGTTCATGAACTTATTCTAATTTACACATGCAGACCCTCTCTCAGTAGCCATGGTCTATGGAAACAACCTAGTTCCGTCCATTTAGTCACATCCCAACCAGAGTCCAGCGGCTAAGACGACAGGTGAGCTGTGACGCGGCAACTCCCCCCAAAGCTGGGCCATTTCTGCAGAAACCAGGATGAAACACAGCCCACTGATCACTGAACTGTGTTCTCGACGCTCGCTCCCAAAGGGCCTGGGGAATTGCTTTAATTAAACATGTTTGTTAAACTAAATTAACGTGCTCAGGACAGAGGCGGGGGAGGCAGGGGCAGGTGAGTCCAGGGAGACAGTGCCAGCAGGCTCAGCTCACCACCCTGAGGAAGGGGACCCGGCCTGGGAGACAGACGTGCTTTGGACAGGAGGCAGCAACCCGCCACAATCTGCATGGTGGGCACTGGGGGCAAACCTGCTGTAGACTCCCGCCCCGTTGGTGCCCAGGCGGTCACTGGGTCAGAAAACACTCACCCTTCTTCCAGGCTTTCCAGTGGGGCCCGGTGGGCCCTGAACACCTCGGGGGCCCTGTCCAAAATCAGAGGGCAAAGCATCAGTGCCTGTCCATGTGTCTCAGAGACAAAAGCAAAGTCCCGTCTCATGCCCATCAACCCGGCCTTGGCTCGTCTTCCCAGCTGCCAGCTCAAGGGCACCCTCGGGACAGGACACAGAAAAGCGCCAGCTGGCTCCCACTGCAGATACCTGTTATTTCTGTTCTGCGCCAGCTTTGCGCTAAGCGACAATTCCCACTGACTTCCTCGAAGACATGCAGCATTTGGGGCACCCCCTCCCAGAGTCATGACCTCCCATGCATGGGAGAGCAAAGGCGAGGTGCCTACGTACCTGAGGACCCATGTCGCCAGGCTCGCCCTTCAAACCTCCGCTCCCGGGAGGGCCCTAGGGAGACACGTCTGGTCACAGAATGCTCAGCAGGTAAAGGCTGCAGGTGGCCGGGGTGGGGGTGCAGAAACGACTGGGGGTTGCCCATGGGCAGGCTCCCTCTGAGGGCCAGCAGACTCGGCCCCTGCCCGCCTCGGACAGAACCCGAGGGGCGGGGAAAAGGGTTCATTTTTTGGATCTCTTCCTAATTTCAAGCGAAATTCTGGACAGTGGAGGCCATAAGAGCCACAAAGCTCACGGTGATGTTCATCTCCCTCTCCAAGATGAACTTGACCGTGGTGTCACAGTCCATGGCTCAGGACAATGTGTGGACATCCTCTGGGTCCATTGCAAGGCAAGAGGCTATAGGAGGACAGCCTTGAGCTGCACCAGTGAGGAGGGCACTGACTACAGGCCTGGGACCAGCAGCCACGTCCCCCCTCCTCGGGAACGGTGGTGGGGACACTGAATGTTTAAATCCTCCATCTCCTTGCAAACTGCAAGGGCCACTGGCAGTCCCTGGGGATCCCACCTGCAGGGCCTGTGCCCGGCACACAGTGCACTCAGCTGTACAGCAGGGCCGGGCAGGGGGGGCTGGGAGCATGGTCGGCCCCCGCAGTGATGCCCCGAAAGGAAGAGGCTCAGAGCCCCTGGTTCACGAGGCAAAGCTGCAGCCATTGTGATTGTGGAGGCTTCCCAGCCCCCAGCCCAACACAGGCCCCACCTGCCAGGGCCCACTCCCCACCGCAGGAGCCAGTGATAGAATTAGTGTTGATGACAATTTAAGACGTGTCCTCTCCTCTCCAACTCCCAACTCCCCCCGCTGGTGACTTACCATGGGGCCGGGTCTCCCCGTCAGACCCATCGGGCCCGCCGGCCCCCTCAACGCCAACTGCAAGAGAAAGTAGGACAGGCTGAGAGATGGCTGGTGCACTGGTCCTGACAGGTGAGGCGTGGCCAGGGACAGTGGTCGCTGGGAGGAGGTGGGATGCAGTCCAGGCCCCCACCTCTGCTCTTGTGGGGCTCCCAGCACCAACCACGATGGGAACAGAGAAGGTGGGGGGAGAACCCAGGTGGGTGCCACTTCCCCCTTTGGGGAAGGGCACTCCATCCACTTGGGGTGCTCAGAGCCTCGTGCTAACCTTTCTGGCTCCCCAGCCCTTCGCCCCTCAGAGTGAGCTTGCAATGCAGCCTCCCTGGCCGGACTGGGGTGGGGAGTGTGTTTTACGCGCAGGTTTGAGCTGAGAGACATTTTATTCCGAGAGGTGCATCTAGCGCCCCCCAGTGGCTGGGAGCCCTTCTGAGGGTTAACTAAATCAGTTCCAGGAGCGGCTGCCCTAGGAGCTGAATCCACCAGACACCTGCGGGGGACGCCCTTGCCCACCTGCGAGACGCTGTCCCACCAGCCCATCCACAGGGTGGCTGCACCTGCCACAGCAGTCAACCCGCGTTCCTAAAGCACCTGTCCCGCTCCCCGCGCGTGCCTACAAGATGCCATTTCATTTTGGAGGAATTTCTGCGTTACAAAAATCTCATAAGCCCATCACCCACCTAGCTTCTATTAAAATACACACAGACTAAAAGGCCAGCAGGCAGGCCCAGGCAATGAATCCTGGTAGTGGGCTCTGTCACACACTGTATGGCATCGTGCCGGCAATTTATCCCATGGCGACAACTCAATACTCTAGCTGTCCTGCAATTACCCCACGTCCCAATCATTAGTGCCATTCCACTGGTTAGGAGCCACACAGATACTGCCAAGCAAGGGCTGATTTAGTGGCTTCCTGTGACACCCCTTGCAGGCGCTCGGCTGAATTACCCAGCCCAGCCCACAGGTGGCGTCTCATTCATCACAAGCAAGCGACGCTGGGTCTCAGCAATTACAAACTCCGTTCACTACCAGCTAACGTGCAGAGCAGAGACAAAGGCTCTGTGGGACCCCCAGGCCGAACTAAGGGCTTGGGGGCCCATGGGGGTTCTCCCAGATGTGTGTAGCTTGGCCCAGCCCATCGCAGGTACCACTTGCCCGGGCCTGGGGCAGAATGGCTGGGCTCTGCCTCGCCCCCTGTACCTTCACCCCCCAGGACCCCGACACCACTCACCCGGGCCTGCTGCAGAATGGCTTGAGCTTGGGACTCCTGGGCTGAGACCATGGGACCTTTGGAGCCAGCATCGCCACCCCCTCCAAACCGGAACTGTGGGTGTAAAACGGGGTTCACCAAGGGTGCTCCGATGTGGGTGCCCATGCTAGACCCCCAGGGCTGAGGTGGTGTCCATCAGCCTCTTGAGTGACAGTGGAGCCTTGGAGGGTCTGGTCTGGGTGGGTTGCAAGCTGCCCTACTATGCCAGCACAAGGCTGCCCCAGGCACACCTGCCAATATCAGCCCTGGGCTCTCCTAGAGACCCTCCCCATGTCCAGGAAGCCCTTCCTGGCAGAGACCCCATGGCCTCCAGTTACTGCGAGGAAAAGCCAAGGGCCCATGAGAACACCTGCACTGAGGAGGCCTAGCAAGGGTGGTCCTGGCTCCAAGCCAGGTGACCCTGAGCTGTGCCCAGACCCCAGGCATCAGACAGACAGACAGAGACAGTCAGAAGACTGATGTCCAGACCAACCACATACTCTTTATCCCAGGCTCCCCAGGAAGGAAATAGCCCCATGACCTTCATGCACAAGGTCACGGACAATTAGGCTCAAGGAGGGGCCAGCTGGCTAGCAGGCCCACAAGGGGGTCTGAGTGATAACAGTAGGTGTTTGACAACAGGCAGATGGCACAGCTTTCCTTCAGGGACCTAACACCGCTCCTTCTTAGGCGGGCCAGCCCTGGGCGCTGGCAGGGAGGTGTAGACCTCGACCACTGGGGTCCACTCCTCTGCAAAGGTGGGACACCCCCAGAGGAGCCTACCTCTATGACACAGTTGGCCCAGAGAGTCTGACCAGGAGATTGTCCCCCTTGGAAACAGAGCCCAGGGCCCCACTCCCCATCGGTCGCCCACTCCCACAAGTAGGGATACTCACGGGCAGCATGAGCATGGTTCCAGGGGGGCCGGGCAGCCCATCAGCCCCAGGAAGACCTGGGCGGCCAGGGGGACCCTGTGGACAGAGGAGCCGAGAGGGCCTGGTCAGAGGGCCTGGACAGAGCTAGGCTGGGGCGGGAGGAGGGGGTTGGGAGCCACGGCCCAGCCAGAAATACACGGGACAGGCACGGAGCAGTGCAAGACCCCATGGCCTGGAATGTTCCAGAACCCAAGCCCAGAGAGGGATCATCGTTATGGGATCAGGATAAGGAAAGGCTCCTGGAAGAGAGGGAGGAGGGAGGAGGGAGGTCCGGGCAGATCCAGAGAGAAGGAAGGTGGGGGCTGCAATCCGGGGCCAGGGGTGCCACTCCAGGAGGGGGCAGGGATGGAGCGTCAGAGCATCCGCCCCTCCAGGACACCCCTTCCAGGTGTCCCTACCAAACGGGCAGGCAGCCCTGAGGAGCCTGCCCTGGCTGCTCAGAGGCCCGATGCCTCGGCACTGTCACGAGGGGACCCCTGTCCGGGCCCGCTGCCTGCGTGTGGCTGCTCAGTGTCCTCCTCAGACACACGGGGAGCACCTGCTCGGACAGACACAGCGAGCGGAGGACACAGCCGGCGCTCTGACTGCCACACGCTGGGCTGAGCTGGCCTCCAAAGCAGGTCCCAGACGGACATCCCTTGACAGATTCTCCGGGTAATTCCGGCTAGCTCAGGACTGTATGAATATAAAACTTTCCTATAAGACAGTTTCTTTTCAGAAAACATTTATCACTCAGCTTTTTCTCTCATACAGGCCGACACCCAACAAGCTTGAGGCTGATGAAGTTCGTTCTGCATCTGGATGGAAGCTTGACTCCATGCACTGACGAAGGAGGTCCCATTGCCACACCCCGGCAGAACTCAAGGGTGTGGGTCCCAGTCCTCTGCACCGAGGACAGCATGCGCTCACTCCATCGGACTGCGATGTCCCCAGCCAGGAAACGGGATCCGCTCCCAAGTCCCAGCCGAGAAGACCAAGAACCGGGTGGCTCTCCCAGCACTGCCCGCCTGGGCCGAGCTGACACGGGCTTGTCTTCCCTCCGAGAGCTGATGACTGCAGAAGCAACCCCTGTCCTTGCGAAATGCTGCGTAACACAGACTTATACAAAGGGCAAGTCCCGCTCCATTCCCCGGCGGTAATCAGAGATCACGCTGTGTCCCTGCGAAGGGGAAGCTGGAAGCGCCAGACGCGGCACGAACGTGGCCTGGGAGGCGGTGTCCCCCTTCGGGACACCGGCGCCTACACACTGTTCTGCAGGTGGCTCTTTCTCTTTGCCGCCTGGGCCCACTCCCGAGCTTAGCCTCGCCCTCTCGTGGCGGTCAAGTTTCCCACGGGCGACGACTCGTCTCGTATCTAATCCACCCTCTGCGGATGCACGTTTGGGTCGTTCCAGGGCTCAGTCCCACACATCCTGCTGCGCTGAATATTCGGGCATCTTTCCTAAGCAGGTCCATGGAGGCGGCTGCTGGGTCAAAGGACTGTACTTGTTTTTATTGCTAATGGGCCCAAATGGCCCTTGCCTGCCATCTTGGGGAAAATTCCTCAGAAGATAAAAAACTTGTTTGAAAAAAAACAAAAAACCCGAACCACATTCTGCTGCGCAGTTTTCCTCCTGGAAATCAACACTGACAGCCACTCACGGCTGAGCTTCTGCCTCTGGATCGATTCCAAATCAAGCTCCCCAGTTTAGAACTGGGGGTCCGTGTCTTCCGGGGATGTGTGTGTGCACTTGTGTGTATGCATGTATGTGTGTATAGGTGTGTGCACCTCTGCCAAGATGCCCCGAGCTCTCTGGAGCACACAGAGAGCGATCCACACAAACGGAGTAGCCAGGTCGGGCCGCAGTGCCTGAGGGACCAGCAGGGCCATGCACTGGTCTGAGCCAGGTACAGTCAAAAGGCAAGAACCAAGGGGGCTGGAGGTCCCTCCGGTCATGAGCATTTTCCTCTTCAGTGCTAGGCCAGTGCCCGGCACTGTGGAAACCCAGTGAATATCTGTGCTGGGTGGACAGATGGATGGGTGGACGGACACTTGGAGCAACACTGAGGTTGAGAGAGTTTAGTCAACATCCGGGCACATCCTATACGCGTAGCATCCTATCCTATATCTAAGAGAGACAATAATGTCTGCTATGCCACGTGGGCCCCTCCCCTTGACATGTGGACTCGGTCACCCATGGGTCCACCTGATGACAGCTTTGTGGGAGGACTCAGCCGTCGCCCCGTCTCTCACAGACCTTTGGAGTGAGCTGGGTAGAGACTACAGCCCCCACTGCAGAAGCCATGAGATGGGGGAGAGCAGTGGGGAGCAGAATGCTGGCAAGCCAAGCATATGGGGGGTGGGGGTGGGAGCGTCCTACAGGCCAGCTGAGGCCAGGTCACAAAGAAAGACCCGCCTATCCTGGGCCCCCAGAGCCACTGGACATAGAGACAAAGTGGCAGGGAATCCTGCTCAAGGCCTCACAGGAGCTAGACTTTGAGGTCACCCAGCCACAGGGAACAAGGACAACCTCCTCCCTGTCCACTGCTAATCCAGCGCTCAGTTGCTTCATCTGCAGGCGCCTGGCCACATCGCCCTGAGCACCGCTCCAAAGCCCGAGCCCCTGACAGCCAACACCCGCGGGCCTCCCCGCCAGGCAGCCTCGGAGGCAGACCCCGGGCTCCTTCCCACACACCAGGCCCAGCCACCGTCCACCCCAGCCCAGCAGGTGCGTGCTCTGCTCTGGGCCGCGTGCCAGGCCCTGGGGGTGAAGGCCCATCAGGACACACAGGCTCCTAGCTTAGCCAGCTATTAGCTCTTCACCCGAGTGCACAAGCTCAATATTCATTAGCCCGGCAGGAAAAACAAAACGAAAGAAAGAAAAAAGCAAAGCTGGACAGGTACCCACGAGGCTGCAGTACCCCAGGGCCCCACTAGGTGTCAGAATGAAATTGCGACGCCCTCACTTCTCCTGCAGGGACCCTGAGGTGTGTCCTCTGGCCAGGGTGATCCCAAGGTGCATCCCTCTGACCAGGGTGACCCTGGGATCTGCCCATCTGTTCCAGAGCAAGCTCTCCCTTGATTTCCAACAAGGAAGGGGGTGGGGGGAGGAATCGAGGCCAGTGGAGTTCTCGGATGAGAAAGGGTCCATGCAGATTCTGGGTTACGCACACACAGCACTGAGCTCTCTGGCCACAGCAGCTGCTGTTGTGACTGTCACACGGATGCAAGGCTGCAGGGCCCTTGCTGTGAGCTGACCACCACTGGCAGTCTTCATGGGACGAGAGCCCCAGCTGGGTCTTACTCTTACGGTGTCTCCTGTCCCCAGCTCAGGGCAAGGCCGTAGTCGACCTCCCTAAATCCCTGAAGAGACTGGATGCACGAAGGGGGTGGTGTGAGATGTGATGGGGCCAAGGGCAATATGGAGAAGGAAGTCACTGTGCGGCTGTCCTCTGCTCATGTGAGGACAACACCAGTCACAGAACAGGAGACACACGGACAGAGTGACGAGCCTGCAGAGCGTGGGATCCCAAGGAGCCGAGTCAGCCCTTACCCTTTCTCCAGGGTCACCCACTTGGCCTGTGGGACCCATCGTTCCTGGAGGTCCTGGGAGACCCTAGAATTAAAAATAAAATCAGAACAGAGTTCAAAGATGCAGCCACAAGCTAGACCTTGCTCCCGCCTGGCTGGGCCCTGGGATGTCTGCAAAATGAAGCAAGCACCCCTTCCTTCCATCCAGGAGTTTTAAGGGGTGTCCCTGATCACCCACCCCTGAGCACCTCCCATATGTCATGGAAAATAAAAGGTGGCACTCACTGCGGGGCCTTCAGGGCCTGGTGGCCCCTCCAAGAGCATGCCCTAGAAGAGACGGAGACACGTCTGAGACCCGGGACCCCAGCCCTCCGGGGCCCCCTGTTGACCCTGGTGGTGGGTCTCCGGGTCAGTGCCCATTGTCCTGTCAGGGGTCTGCAGCCTCTGTAATGGGGGCTATGGTGGGGGCCACGATGACCATCCTCTGAGCATTTCCAGGAGCAACGACAAGCCCAGGACAAGTTTGCAGGGAGGGAAAAGCTCTTGCCCCTCAGGGATCTGCAGGCTGAGGACACAGCAGGGGTGGTATCTGGGGTTCCTGGGACCACGGTGGACACGGTGGCTGCTGAGACAGCATGCAAGGGCTGCACATGCTGGCCCTAGGGCAGCCCCACTGGCCCCTGGCCCCGACCACAGGAAAAGCAGTTGCTTCTCTATAGGGCTGCACAATGTCACTGTGCCCTGGATGTCTTCGAAAGTGGCCAGTCCCCTTGTGAAACCTGGAATTACTTCCTGGGAGGAAGAGGTTATGCCTAGTAGGGGTGCAGGGATCAGCCCAGGTTCCAGCCCAGTGGGGGCTCCCGGCCAGGGGGCTGCAGAGCCCCTCCAACCCTCCCCCCCCCCACCAGGATGCCCCAGTCGCTGTGAGGATGGACACTGTGTTTACACAGATGTGCACTTAGAGAAATATTTGTACTCGAGGTGTACACAGAGAGCTCGTGCAAAAGCTCTGTAAACCCAGCGTTCCTATTTCCTTCTCAGACGAAGGCAGCTGCAAAGGCTCAGAAACTGAGCTGGGATTAAGAGAGAAAACACTGGCCGTTGCAGGGCCTGGGGACCGCAGCTGTCTTCCCAAACATGCCAGCTGCTGTTCTCAGGGCACTGGGGTGCCACAGGGAAGGGATCTCACGGGAGGGAAGCTGGAAACCAAGGGATGAATGAGCCCAGCAGAGGGTGCCTGACCCCTCCCAGGCAAAGCCATCACAGGAAAGCACTCCCAGGGCCACTACTGAGCAGTGCTCGATGACAACAGAGAGGGGGGCCTTGCTATAGCATGCTGGCCCTGTCCACACCCCACCAGGATGGAGAGTAACCCTAAGAAAAGTCTCAGTGTGACACACTCAGGACTCTTAGTGGAGGCCATCCATGTGCTAAATAGCACATACAAAAAACCAGTGTTTTTAACCACAGTGGAAGGCAGAGGTGGTGCCCCGTGTGCCTCTGAGGGACACTCGCTAGGGGATATAAACCACTGGTCGGGGGCTTCCTGGTGCCTGAAGTCCCAGAGCGGCCAGGAGCCCGGCGCTGACTACCCAGCATGCTCTGGGCTGAGTGCTCCCGGCTGAGCGCATTCCTGCCCTTTGAAGGAGCCTCTGATGCTGCTGACAAATTACAGAAGGTGCCGATCTAAGTGGGAAGTAGCCGGCTGGGTCCCTGAGACAACGGAGAGAAGGAGCGGATTCCAAGAGCTCCATCAACAGTGAGTCACGTCTCCCCAGAGGGAGGTCGCTGGGGCAGGTGGGGGGAGAGGAAACAGCTACCCCCACCTCCACGGGGTCAGGACGCCTGCAAGGTTGGTGGCAAGACCACGTCAGCCTCTCCCAGGACTCGGCCATCTGTTTATGGCAGCTAAGACTTTGAGGACATCTGGCGATGCTCCAGGTTGAGAAACTCCAACTGCTTACATGATCCCTCCAGGGACTCGGGCCCCAAGCCCTGTGGATGCTCTGAATGGGCGGGGGGTGCTGGGCGGGAGAGAACTCGGGCCAGAAGGGGAGGGAAGCCTTCCCTAACCGCATCCAGATGGCTCGTGTCCCCAGTGAGGACAAAATGGGCTTTCTGCAGACACGCTTTCCGGGTTGGACAGCCCTGTCTTCTCAGCCCTCCCCTCTGGCCCGCCCTCACCAGTGGGGCAGGGAGCTGACACCCCACCCCTGCCCAGACTGGGACAAAGGGCTCTCCTTACAGGGTCTGCCCAGTCTGGGGACATGAGCAAACAGGAAGCTTATCCATACAGAGGTGCCAGCCTAGCCCCCCAGAGCGAGGCCACCAAACCTGGACTCCACAGTCTGGGCACCTACCTGGGCTCCCACTTTCTTCCCTGGCAAGATGCTCCTTTCACTAAAGCATTGGGGATACCACATAAGGCACCCCAAATCTACCTGGGGCCCAAGACCATCTGGGGAAACTCACTGTCAGGCCTTACACCCCAGTAAGATAAGCACAGCTCAGACCACAGAGGAACCACAGTAGGGGGTTCCCAGCACCCCATTCTTCTAGGTGGCCCCCAGGCTGGGCTGCATTGCTCCTTCCCCCGTGGGTAGCCTACAGTTGGTGTCAGGACTTTCTGTGTCACTGAGCAAGGGCCACCTGGCGTTGGCGGCCCCCCTGGGGCCCCTCTGCATTCTTCCTCTGACCCCCATCCTCTACCCTCAGACAAGCCTTTTCTTCCTTGGACCCACAGAAAGCTCCAGAAAGGAGACGTTCCAGCTCGAGAAAAAGATGTGTGTGCAGCACCCCAATGCCCAGTGGGAGCAGCGGTCACCATGCCCAGAAAGGCCTGGAGGGGAGCGCAGAGCCACACAGGACGGCCTTCGCATCCCCAGATGCCTCCTTGGCCTGGGAATGGCCCAAGTGGGAGGGCTCTGCTGAGCCTCTGTCTGCTGGGAGTTTCAGCTCAAGATGGGACACATCTTGTCTGTCCTGGCCACGGGGCTCCAGGTCTCTCTGGGGACATAAAGTAAGCCACGTGCTGTGAGTCATGGTTCTGAAAGAACCTTCACAGTCTCCAGCAGGATGGAGGCCCCCAGGTTCTCCATCCTGGGAGCCCATGGTCAGACGGGCCCTGGGAGCCCCAATGTCTACTCTGAGCTCAGCCATCAGGAACCGGGTCCTGGCAGCAGAAGTCACAGCCCAGCCCCAGCCTCGTGACAGGCCTCACTGCAGGACATGGGCCTCCTCCCCTCGGTACTTGGAGGACGTGGTGGGGTGGACCTCGGCCACCAGCCCTCCCACTCTCCCCGGCCCACCCCACTAGGCCCACCCCCACAGC